TGGGACAGTGTGAGAAATTAACTGTAGAGAAGCCAAGCATCAGAGGACATGCAGAAAGACTGTATGCAGTGGATCAAACCCAGGAGCTCATTGCTGCTGCGAAGTGTGTGTTCAAAAACAAAACTGAACTGAAATGAGTCTTCTCTTCTTTTGCATAAAATGACTTCGCCCAAACTGCATCCCCTTTTCTTCCATACAGGACCACCGTTGAAACGTGATTGGATTTTCCAGCCACAGTTTGCAGTGAATCATTGCTCGTTTGCCCCGCTGTTGATCTTATTCATGTGTATTATGCATGCTCTACATGGGCACTCTGCTAACCAGTTGTTTACCAAATTAAGTTTATGTAAAAACAGCCGTCAATCACCACACCCATGCAGTGTTAGAGGCATCATACATAATTAGTCAACATATAATTACATCTGTCTCTCTGTTCCTGATTTTGACTTGACCGTGGGGTTTATCCCTGCCACCAAATTTCCAGACTTTCCACTTCAAATAGGATGTGTGGTAATTATTCGTGTCACATTACTGTACATGCAAACAGACTCAATGGATGTTTGGTCTGGGAAGCGTGTAAATAAAAGAAATGCTTAAGCTGAATCATCGAAGGAGGCATAACTTTTTGTTTTATTTACCAGGAAGATTTCTTTTTGATTTTCTGAAAAACTTGATAAAGTTGTTGCTCATCTGTCTGAGTTCTCTCTTCATGCAAAGCCAAATGATGTAACTTTAAAGAATGCCTATCTCTATCAAACAGTTTTTCTTGACTTTGTTTGCTTTTCTTTCTGCAGAACGGTGGTAATGCCCATCGCCAACGAGTTTGCCCCAGATGTGGTTCTGGTGTCCTCTGGCTTTGATGCAGTGGATGGACATGCCCCTCCTCTGGGAGGATACAAACTTACCGCCAAATGTAACTATCGTTCATTAATTATTTCACTAAAGCTCTTAATCAACTAAAATAAAGTTGTTTTGATCATCATAACGTTCTTCCATTCTGCAAAGAGACGATCCTGATGTATAGTCTTAACATTTCCTGCATATGTTGACTGTACTAAGAAAAAGCTTTTCTGTTTTAGCACCAGATATCCTAAAGAAGAGCTGGGTTTCTGGTTGTCAGACAGGCTGCAATGCCTGATTTTGAGGGGATTGCAGAAAGAGGAGATTGGGTAGAATTTGAGCTCAATAAAGTGCCGTTGTATGGATTTATTCATCCCCGTTCCTTCTGAGAGGAACAACATCAAAGGCTGTGACCACGACTAAACTCTAAGTCGTGTTTATTAAAATTAAACCTGGCTCATATTAGGGTTGGTTCTTGGCCTCCAGTAATCCACAGAGCTCTCTCTTTCCTTGCTTCTTCCTCTCTCTCGTGCAGTCACTCCCTCCTTTATCCATTTTTTTTCAGCGTTTTGCTTTTATCAAAATCCCAAAAGGAAGCTGGAAGCTCAGCTGCGAGTCTCACTCATTTCATTTTTCCCTCCTTTTCTCTGCTGTGATTTCCTTTGTCTCCAGGCTTCAGCTACCTGACCAGGCAGCTGATGGGCCTGGCCGGCGGTCGCTTGGTGCTTGCCCTGGAAGGGGGTCATGACCTCACAGCTATATGTGATGCCTCTGAAGCCTGCATTTCTGCTCTGCTTGGCAATGAGGTAAGAATTGTTGATTGGCTTTTGCTGAGGAAATATTTACTCTGAAGATGTTGTCATGTGATCATCTCCTTTATATATACCATTCCTCATGTGTCCTGCGATAGTTAGCAGACCAACACAGGTTGGGGAATAATTTTAAAGTGGAATGAAATGGACAGATTTTCAATTTTAACATGGTTTTAAGACGTAAAAGTGGCACAGGTGTTCCCTATTTAGTATCAGCTGTAATCATACATACTTTTATTACATTTTATAGTGCAGAATGTTCGAAAAGGATTGATCATGTGATGTGACTAGAAACCGAGAACAACGATCAACAGAGAACACATTACTCTTTTTAATTATCAACCAGATTTTAGATGCAGGCTGATATAATCTTATTCTGTTTTGTGGCTAATGTCAGTTCGGGGCATCTCTAGTTTCTTATAGGGCTGGTTGATAAGGCCTAAAAATAAAATCTCCAACTTTTTTTATTTTTAATACCAGTTACGATCCCCCCCCCACCCCCTTATTATTAAGGAAAGCAATAAGTACAAACGGATCACCATGTCTTTGGCTAGACGCAGGGCGCATCACCAATGCGCCGCACTATTTGGCAGCCTTGCTTCTGTTAACAGCTAACTTGTTAGCTATCTGGAACATTTTAAAATATGCGTTTCAGTACACAACTCCATTTCTTCTAATACAACATCTAAATAAAAACTCGCCCCCAAAGTAGTGCCAAGGTAGTTATCCCCGCCAGAATTTGTACTGAGTATTGACTGTATCCAAGCATGCAAGGAGCTGATAGAGTTCCCTCCGCCTCAATTCCACTATGCTGGAAAACTTAAGGCCCTGTAGTTCAACCAACAGATGATGTTATTTCTTTTTTGAGGACAAACTCACTCACCTAAAGTTATGATGTCATTTTCTGTTCCATGTGACGCTTTCACTTGCAAATCTGCAACCTGAGAGTAAAACTGCACCTACAGAAACTCCAGGGAGCCAAAAATACGCCATTATAGAAAATTCTTTTTTTTTTTTCTTTTTTTCGAATTAATTCATTGAAACAATGTTTTATCCAGGCCTATTTTCTGGGGTTATTTTCTGCTACACATAGCATAAGCTTTGGTTTTATTTGATCTCAGTTCCCTCTGCAAACTAAGACGGGTTACCTCTCTCATCCTGCTGTCCTTTCAACTGAACAGATTTACTCCAAGTCTGTGGCTTCTTCTCCAATCATTGATTTCTCCACCGGGCAGTCTCTCAGTTTTAGTAGATGGCCAAGCTTTTCTCATTTCAAGACTTAAAATAATTTTGCCGTTTTCATTTAATGTGTTTAACACCCCTTGAGATATTGTTTTATAATCTTCCTCAGCTTGAAACCTCTCCTGACATGCCTGCAGTGTTCCTTGGTCTTCATGATCATACTTCTCCTCTAATGATCTCTAACAAACCTCTCAGGATTTTGCAGACAGCTGGATTTATGCTTAAAATAAATCAAACATAAGTAGATCCAGGTTTACTACTAAGGGGATTTGAAAGATATATTTGTACCAATAATGAAGTATTATAAGCTCAAATTAGTTTCCTTCTACTGGACAGTTTTACAACATATTGTATCAGTCTGTTACATAATATATCAGTGTTAAATGTTATTTTTTGTAAATAGAAACATATAAAATGTATACATTTTAAAGTGGTCCAAAGGGAATTAGATTAGATTAGATTAGATTCAACTTTATTGACATTACACAGGTAGAGGTACAAGGCAACGAAATGCACTTTAGTTCTAACCAGAAGTGCAATAGCAGCAAGTGCAGGATAAATAATGCTTCCATAAATACAGGACATGGGTTCCTACTGAATAAATATAGAGATGATTACCATTATAAACAGAATTTTACTAATAGATTTGTCCGATGAATATAATATATAGATAACTAGTGTTATGAACTAAATTTACAACTGGATATGTAACAAATATAATATACAGGTGGATATTACTATAAAAAGGGGTTTTACAGTTATGTACAATAGCATATATACAGATGGATTTTACTATAAAATGAATAAATAAAGTTTGGACAGAAAGTGCAGTGGAAGGTAATTACATATTACAGTTAAAGTACAGTATTGCAAATGTATATGTAAACAACTGATACTGTGAATAAGCAGTCTGCAGTGCAAATCAATTTTGAGTCAAGGTTAGTAGTGCAAGATGCACGTTAACTGTTGTTACAATAGTAACAGTCAGGAGTGCAGGTGAACATTAAAGTCTTGTAAATAATAGAATAACAAATGGAGGTAGGTGTGAGGAGGGAGAGGGTAGTTGAATGGGTAGTTGAGGAGTTCCTAAAACAGCTGGGAAAGACTACATAGTCAAAAGAACATAATACATGAAACGTAATTCCTGTTGTATAATAAAGATTTTTTTTTGCTAAAACACAACAGAAAGATGAACAAAGGATTTTAGGTGATGTTGTTGCATAGATACAAAAAAAACAGAAGACCCAGAAGAAATCTTCTTTTTTACAGAATGAACAGTCTCTGCCTCTCCGCCTCGTGTCATCTTTGTCTTTCTTCACCAGCATTTAAACAGGACAACAACGCACACGCTCTGCTCACAAACACGTCAGAGGGCGACGGTTTCCAGGCACAAGAGAACAGTAATTGAGGGAGCGTGTGGGCTGATCTGTGGTGCTCAACAAACACTGGTGTTTTGTGACGCAAAACAGGACAGTTTAAGCTCACTTTAAACTCGCTTATTCAAATTATATTTTGCTGAAGGAATTTAATCTACAGAAATGTATCTTTCTGTGACTATTGAAGATTTTACAAGCATAAAATGCAAATAAGACTGCAGTTTCTATAACTGTACATTAAATAGACAATTTAATTATGTGTACACCAGCAGGTCAACCCTAATGAACTCATGTTAAGCAGCATAAGCAGTAGATAAAGAGACGATAATCAGACCAACATCAAATTGATGTTCAGAAAATGACTGCTCTGATACATTGCTGAAGGCTGAAATATGTAAATATTGTCAATTTCAAAGGAACCCTCTGTAATTTCTAAAGTCATTTTCCTTTGTTCAGAGTCAATTATGGTTCATAAAAAAGGCATAAACATTTACAACTCTTCTGACACTTTTAAATAGCCTAACCTCAGCCTTTATAATGGCTGTCTAACAAAAACACAGCCCAGATATGTTCTCCAGCTATTATTCTGAACCAGACTGTGTTTATATGAATGAAAGAAGTCAATTGCACAAGACCTATTGATATCTTTTTTATAGGTTTCAATCAAATTTGCATTTTAGGACAACATGTTCCCTTCCTGCAGATCTTTTGAACTTTTTGGCATTATCAGATCCGTAAGGTCCCATGCGGCATCTGGCAGTTGGGGCAACAAGAACAAAGAAAAAGAAAAAACTTTATAAAGCATTGAAACAAAAAACATTTAGATCATAAAGTTACGCTTGACTTTGTTGTCTTTTGTTTTATTATATAAAAATGCTTTTAGTGCTGAATATTTGAACAAATCCAGAACACGAAGAGTATGTAGAGTATGCAGAACCCAGAAGACTTTACCTGGATTAGATAGAAGCATAGTAATGGTGCTTTTACAAGGGAATGCTTTGCTTTGTCCACTTGAAATAGAGGTTTAAGTTTTCTTGGTGGGTCGCTTAGTTTGGGCAGGTGTGAATGCTCCTTTGCTTGCAAGTAAACCCTGGTCTGGTTTGCTTAAACTAAAAATGTAAGCAGACTATTCAGCAAACCAGAGAAAGGGAACCAAATGGTGACATAAGGATTTATAATAAGGCATACAATATATAGGATCTAAGAACGACTGCAGCCCATCATGGTGCCTCCCTCCACATTGTCTAATGCAGTTTTTCTGCATGTGTTGCCTTGTCTTCCTTCAACAGCTTTCTAAGCCTAAACCAACTAAGTCCTGAAGACAATCCGTGAACAATCCGTTATGCCCACTGTTTAGAATGGTCGAGCATTTTTGATGCTGTAGGTTTGTTTCTCCTACTAATGCTGTGGTAACCTTCTTAAAGTGCATGGCACCAAAAAGGTTTTAAAATGCTTGGATATTTAATTAAAATAAGTTTTTAAGTAGGATAATGATCTAAAACATCCATGCATCCATTTTCTTCTGCTTATCCGGGGTTGGGTCGCGGGGGTAGCAGCTTCAACATGGAGGCCCTGATGTCCCTCTACCCAGCCACCTGGGCCAGCTCCTTCAGGGGAACCCCAAGGCGCTCCCAGGCCAACTGAGAAACATAGTCCCTCCAGTGTGTCCTGGGTCTCCCCCTGGTTCTCCTCCCTGTGCTACTTGCCTGGAACACCTCACCAGGGAGACGTCCAGGAGGAATTGTCTGGGCTCTCCCTTTAGAGATAGGGTGAGGCGATCAGTCATCCAGGGAGGACTCAGAGTAGAACCACTGCTCCTCCACATCGAGAGGAGCCAGTTGAGGAGGCTCGGGCATCTGGTTAGGATGCCTCCTGGACGTCTGCTTGGTTAGGTGTTCCAGGCATGTTCCACTGGAAGGAGGCCCAGGGAAGACTAAAACATGATCTACAACATGCCCCCAAAAAAGACTAAACATGACGCAACCATCTCAGTCTAAAACCTAAAACCAAAAGAAAATCTATTTTGAGAGTTGAAGAGAAGAGAGGATTAGGACAGACCTAAGGCTATGATTGATCTAAAGCAGTGGTTCCCATTATTGGTCCTCAGGGACCCCTATCATGCATCTTTTAGATTTCTCCTGGTTCAAGACATCTAACAGATATTATGGTTATTTATGAATAACCTGTGTTGGTGTAAAGTCGTGCATAAAATGTCTTAGAAACCAGCCTTTGTTAACTGAAGTCAGGAGATAACCAATAGGGAGACGTTTTGCAAATGTTGTTATTCAAAGCTTTCCATTTCTCTGTCCTCCACCCTTTTAACATGTTACAGATAATATGTCATTCAACAGGCGAAGGGAAGTTTTGATCCATGGGTAATGTTGCCAAAGTTAATAAGTTCTTTGTGTCCTAATTGACGGATTATTCAGTGATATTTTTGCTCATACTCACCAGGGTTGCCTATAAAATATGTTTCATTGTACTTGAGACTGCTTCTGCATACTTCTTTAGTTCATAACTGCATGATGACATCTGGAAAGGTTTCAGAAGCTCAAGGACACTTCAGAGGGGTGGTTTCCTTTTGCTGTCACATAGCTCTGCTCCCTGGACGTCCAGGTTGAGACACTGGATTCTTTGCTCCCTGCACCACCCTGGCGAGTATCTATGGACATCCACCCACCACATAATGAAGTGTGCCAGAGGTTTTGCTTCTAATGTTCCAGCAGCCTGCTGGGCACCTCTGCCAGCAGGGGTTTGAAGGAGTTCCCTGGGTGGATGCCATATTGAGCTGAGAATTTGAGAATGGGCAAGAGGCAACAGGGGGCATCCGTCCCCCCTTCCCTGCAGGGCAGTGCTCTCAAACACATCTGAAAACGCTTACCCTCACACCTCTTTCTGCAGGGTCAGCCCGGTTCCAGGGATCAGATAGTTCAAGGAAACAGTAATTATTTGAAGTAGAGGAGGAGGAAACTATTGTAATTCAGCAGCTCTATAGGTCGTTGTACCTGTGCAAGTCTGAAAAGCTTTCAGATCAGATGTAACCCAAAGCAGGTTTTTATTACTTACATTACATTTTACTGAGGTTTATTTGTAAGGAATCTGTTGTTTTGACTGATTTGAGCTTTTCTTTTTCCAGGGAAACAAAAAAGGGTAACTGATAATGAATTCTCAACTAATAGATCTTTTACCATAAAAGTATCATCATGGGGAAAAAGAGTAAATATTTTTGCCAACCGTCATTAAAACCTGTGAATAAACTCAGACAAAGATTTCTAGGAAATTTCAGTGGAATAGGAGGATGTTTAAGTTTGCTTTGATTAGTAAATAGCGCAATATACTGGTTTATGAGTCAAAGTTTTTCTGACTCGTCCAGCTGGGAGCAATGACGTCACCTGATTGAACAAAAGCAGATCTTTTTGTTGTTGGGATCCTTGATTGCTAAGGGCGACAGAAAGAAAACTACTTAAATGTCTAAATCAGATCAAAACCGCAGGAAGAAAGCATTTTTATGCACTCCACTAAACTCCTTGTAATGACTTTGGAATGTTGCTGGGAAGTGTCAGTGGAGTACCAACAGAAAAAACAAGAATAAACGCCCACTCCTGTATTTTTAAGTTTGATTTATTGTCTAAAGTTGTAAATTAGCTTCAAATAGCAACTTTAAGGTCAACTTAAAGTAATTAAGATGACTATGCCTTTCTGGGTTTACGAACAACGTTTTTTAAGCATGTCCCCTACGTAAGCTTTTCCTCCAGAATAGGATTCATTTGTTGTCTATATTTGTTTTTGTGTTTGTGGTAATGATGAGTGGGTTCAGGAATGATCCACAGTTGGTTGGACTGGTCAGCTGTGAATTTATTTGTTGCATAAAACCGTCTTTGGTTCTGCGTTGCTCGACGTGGAACAATACCATAATTAAAAAAAAAACTCTGATCCAAATATATGGGCTGAACTTCCTTTTTTTTCATTGCAAGTTTTTGAGCAGTCAGTTTTGGTGGCTTTTTGCACATTTATAGCGTATTTTTGCATTTACGACCTCAGAGGTGACAGATGGAGGTTGAAATTTCAAAGGGATAAACAGAGCAGATGAGTGATAAATGATTTATCCTTCCTGTTATCCTGTCGCTCACTCTTACCCTCTCCCAGCTAAATGAACCATTGACATGTCTTGAGATTTCTAGAAGAAAAATCTCCTGGTAAATGGCAGCATTTTTCCTCTTTGACTTCATTTCAAACATCTCCCTGGTCGTAAAGATATTTAAAATCTGACATGTCATTGACTACAGCAAAGTAAAGGCTGCCACTTCTTTTTAAATATCAGAAGGTGTTAACGTTTACTTTGTTCTGAAAAGGCAAGACCACCGGCTTCTGTCATGTTTTGCAGCTAAGCTGGCTGGAGATGAGGCCTGCTGTTGGCTACACTGCGTTGCTCTGGGTAGTAAAAAAAAACTGGAGACACCAGTATAGTGCTGCCAACCAATCTACCTTAACAGTATATCTGGGGACTTTTCAGACACTCTAGTAACTTTTTTTTAAGGACAGCAGACAAATCTGGTGATTTTTTTCCCCATGTTTTTTGCAAGTTGAGCGACTTCACCTAAAAGCAGTTTTATAGGATTATGTGTTTCACAAAGATTCTTCATATCTGTGCTCTGATAAAAAAAAAAATATATATATATATATATGAGTTATATTTTTAAATCTCATTCCAGCTTAAAAACAGTTTTTAACCACCTTTTCCTTTGTCATGTTTAATCACCTTTTCTCTTTTGTTAAAAAGCTCATGAATGATTTATTTGTAATGATGCTAGTGAGCTCTGAATTCAGGACTAATTGAAAATTGCTCGAGTGCAGATGTTTGCCAAGTCAAAACTATGGCCCTTTGCAATTATTTGATAACCAACAAGCTAATATGCTAATTGCTGCCAGCCGTGCATGATGTCATTAAGCGTGTTTGCTCTTCGGTTACAGTGAAATTGTTTGCCTTCACTTGTCCCCCTTTGGGCCTGACTGTTTCCTCTAAAGAAGTCCAAGGAAAATCCTTCAACCCTTATCTGGAAAGGTCGCCCGCCCTGCACAATGCACATGATTACCTTGTTCAGTTAGCATAACATAATCAGACGATTTTTGCAGCTGTTAACATGCACACATGGACAAAACAGTAAACAATAGATGGCTTGTGCTCTTTTTATTTTGCTGAACAAGTGGAATTCCTCTGCTTTTCCACTGTTTTGCTTTGAGCCTCCCTTAGGAATGTTTTTACCGGAGCACATTCCTCAAACTCAGCTCATTGCCTTTGCACGGTGTCTCGGTTTTGTTGGCTGGGACGTGGATGTCCTCAGAGATCATTTAAACCCAACATCCCTGTCTGAACTTGTTAAAGATTGCTATACATATCAGGCACAGATAAAAGCAGCCAAATATAATGTTGCTATGGGTGATGTCATAGACCAAAGTAGGCTTGTTTATAATATTCCTTCATGCATGTTTTTTCACACGTGCATGTTTCTTTACCATACCTGCCGAGTCTGGGCCCCTGGAGCACCAAGACAAGCATCATTAAAGTTTAAAAGTGTGGGACCTGGCTGTCAATCAAACTGACAAGCTGCCCCTGTCCAGCTCTGCTCTGTGCTGAACTCCAGCAAACCCTGGAGAACCCCTGACCTCGCTCTGACAGAGCCGGGGAAAGCTGGACCGGCATGGGCTGAAACCTTGGAGAAGTGAACTTTGTGGAAACATTAGGATGTTTTGATGAAGAATAAGATCTGCTGTCTCTGTTACAGGTGGGTTTAGCCAGACAACGTCCGTTTGATTTCAAACTCTGGGATTTTTCTTAAAATGCTGTTGACAGACTTTAGGCTTTCTAATAGAAATCATATTATTTAAACATCTTAGGGAAACTGATTTTAAAAAATAGTTGCTAAAGTAGTCTATGTGGCCACATGCTTGATTTTATAAACCTGTGTTTCTGGAAGATACTATGACTAATACTTAAAGAGTGTGTGCAAAGTACATCATTAATGTAATACAGCTCTCTGGATAAGAGTCAGTTGTGTTAGAAATAACTCAAAGGAGTTGCTCACAAGTGGATGAATGCATACATCTCGATCTTATCCTGAGTGCATGATGTAGCCTGTCGTGCCACAGCAGGATTAAAGTATCCATCTCTTCCTGAAGTGCCTCATTCCCTCGGCCCCAAGGACCCCTCCTATACGCTATTTGTTTTAATTAAAATAAAACTCTCACTCTTGGCCCGTCCACACCAACCATCAATGACTTTTTTCCCTTTCTCTCTTTGGCATCTGACTCTCCAAATGTCAAGCCAAACTTCCCCCTCCTCCCCTTCTTTCTAACTCGGCATGTCTTACTTTCCATGTTGCCATGTTGGCGTGCTATTCCTCGGGGATTATGACAAAGCAGAAGAGGGATGTGTGTCGTCTGTGGTGGAATGTGGAGCTGAATGAGCCTGTGTAACGAAAAGGGATGAAAAAGTGTTGAACGAGCAGTCGGCCAAAGGGGAAATTAAATCATTCCGGGTTAGGAATACGCTTTGGGGAATAGCTCTGTTTGCTCTGAATTGTGGCTTGGAGAGTTCCACAGATTTCACCGTACTTGCTGAGGTGTATGTGTGAACTGGTTGTTTCCAAGTTAATGCATCTGCATACACCCTTATGCTTCCTTGGAGGGACTCAGAACAAAGCGTACAGTGTAGTTTGTGTCAAAGAGTAGCAAAGCTGTTGAGGAGTGGGAAGAAGCATCCATCTGCAGGCAGGATTGTTGTTTTTATTGTGTCAGCAGCTTGAGATTGTTCCCAAACTCTTGGACTGACTCAACAGTGGGTTGTGGTCAGCATTTCAAAAAGGATCCTGTTAAACCTCGAGGGGACGTGTCGGGTCAAATGGGGTTTTGGAGAGAACTTTCTGAACACCTGTGGAAATCACTGGAGTATTTATAAAACTTATGCAGAGCATGTACACTGAGATTTGCTGTAGAATTTTATTATCTTCTCCAACATGCAAAAGGGACATTGTAATAGAAACACCTTAATGTCAGAGTTGTCCTGTAGATCCAGTAGCGAAATAACAAAAACAGACATGTTTCTAATCTGATTTTCTGTCTCTTTCAGTTGGACCCCATTCCTTTTGAGGTGCTGCAGCAGAAACCAAACGCCAACGCTGTGCGCTCCATGGAGAAAGTAATCGAAGTTCAAAGTGAGTATTCCACTAAAAGAATCACGCTTGCAGCTGGCAGCTTATACACATATGTATGTATGACAATTTTTTAAACCAGCTTGTCTAAAAAAAATTAAAAATATGCTGCTTTTGTAATTTCTGGTAAAAACTATTGAGTCACAACTGTTCAAAAAGATCCTCTGTAAATAGTTTTAATTAAAAAAAAAAATCACAGATAAGACAACAAAGCAGTATAATAATTAATGGTAGAAGAGATTTCAATGTAGAGCAATGCCACATCACTGTG